CATGTATTGATATATATCGCGATGCGGTATCTGCAGATGGCAAGCATCCTGCTTGTGACAAGTCCTACTTTGGAAGAAGGGAATTTTCTTTCACGCTAGAAAATGATATTTATATCCGATTCCAGTCTTTCAACAGTGCTATAGAACTGGAAAATTCCATCAAAGAGAAATGTCCGTTCAAGATAGATATTGGGCCTGTCTATAGCGTTGATGTAAGATTTCTTTCATCTTTACGCAATTTTTAATAGTCTCTCGGAGCCCTTCGAGTTAAAGCTGCCCGTTTTGTTTTTATTAGTTATTCAGGTCAGTTGTTTTATTGGTTGTTCATGATCTATTGTCTGTACTGCAGCCTGCTAAGAGGCATGCTTATGCTCAAAGCGGTGACAATGTTTTCACTCCGGTTGAGAGAGAATTGGTTTTTGATATTGTAAGCTACTGGACCTCTAGAAAACTGAGCATCTTAGCCTACTTTTCAATCTCAGTACATGTAACGACCATGTTGTTTGATTTGTTGGAGTTATGTTGTATTCTTTTCCCAGGATATAACAGATTATGATGATGTTAGATATTGCTGCACAGGAGCAGATGTTTGCTTGCAGTGCTGGCCTCTAATGACAATTGCTATTAAAGTGATTGATACTGCTCTCAGAGGTAAAAGCTGGAATACATTGGTTTGCTAAATGCACTTTTAATTCATTGCCGGCTTACTAAACTGGCAGTATTCTAGTTGGGACTGAGTTATTAAGCTGTCCTTCAAAAATTCTGCGTTACTACATAGGCACATTTGGTTTCTTGAGTGCGCATGATGTGTGCAGGTCTTTTTCTTACATCACCAATTAACTTTGAAGTTCTAATAATGTAGATGACTTCGGATTTAATCACATTCTCTGGGTATATAGTGGTCGGCGTGGTGTGCACTGCTGGGTTTGCGATGGAAAAGCCAGAAGGTAATGTAGTAAACCCTTGAAATCTTCACATTATTTCTGCTATACCTTTACCTGTATTATCACATAAAGATATCAATTTTCCTCTCATAACTTCTACAGGCTGACTAATGAACAGAGGGCAGCTATTGCTGATTATTTCCGTGTGTACAAGGTGATTAACAAGTGCTGTGAAATGCATCTGGATTTGGCTTTCCCTTCCCCCCCCCCCCCTAATACCAAGAAAACATTAACTTTGTACCTTTTCAGGGCAATGAAAATAGTCACAAAAAGATATCTTTACCAGGCCCTGTTCTGCATCCTTTCTTGGCGTAAGTGATATTGTATTTTGTTTTTAAGTTCCTTACTCTCGACTTCCAGTCTCCTCTGAGGCATATTTTTACTTTGCAGGAGATCCTATACTGAAGTTCTGAAGGGTTTTTTCGAGGCCAAAATGCTTCCAAATCAAAATTTACTTTCCTCTGAAGAGAGATATGAGAAGATACTAGAAATGATTCCTGATGCATGTAAAATTTATAGTCTCTTTGATGGCTAGTTATGGCATTTATCTTAGCAGTTGCTCATGTATGTGCGTTCTATATTTTCAGCTGTTGCTTCTGAACTTAGGGGGAGGTGGCAAGAGAATAAGCGAGCTTCCATGTCAAAAGATGACATAAATCTTGTTAGGTGGGATCAACTAAAGTCTGTCCTGCAATCCGGTAAACAAAAGGTATGAATTGGTATGCTCAAAATCAGTGTTAAGAACCTACTTGCAGTTGAAAGTTGAAACCTCTATTTAAACATTTTTGTCACAAACAGTGGCATGGACCATTCTGTTTGAATAGGTGAATTTAACACTTGATTCACTTTTGTCAGTTGTATGATTTAAATATGTTTCTAGATTAACTTCTCTAACTGTGTTGCTAAAATATTCTTAGTTAGGATGAGTTTGCTATATTTAAACAGATAAAACTGCCATCGTAAATTGATTATAGCCGTCAAACAGATTGATAGGCTTTTGAGACTCAAGATTGGTAATGATTCCTCATGGATCCTAAAGGGAGTCCAAGGCATGTTAAAGTATTTACAATAAAGGGGGTGAGCCCACTGCATGTTAGAAACAAGTTTCTACAGCAAAGTGAGTCCATGACATTTTTTATTTATCATCCACAATCAAAGTCATTCTGAAAATATCAGCAATAAATGAGTTGGATCAAGTAATAAGTCCATGATCTGAAAATCAATTACAATTTGATTGTTTTCCTGGGCAAGTTTAAATTCATTAGAAACACATTATCTCAAATATGCTTATCACCTGGATGTCGTATGTTTTATTTTAGAGGCGGAATTACTGTATTTTAACTTTTTGAATTGTTTTGCATGATTCACCTTTTCCAGACACAAGGCATACGGAGATGTGTTGAAGAGATTGTCTTTTCATTTACGTACCCTAGGCTTGATATGGAGGTCTGCAACAGTATTACACCTTTTGGTTTTGTTTATTTATTTGTTTACTTATTTTGTTAGTTCATTCTCTGTCAACAATATCAGTATTCATCTTAGAAGTACATCCACCTACTTCATAAATTGGTACTTATAAATTGCATCTTTGAAGCAAGAAGTTCATATGTTTGTTTGTATGTCAGGTGTCGAAGCACATGAACCATTTACTGAAGGCACCGTTCTGTGTACATCCAAAAACAGGTTAGTGTTGAAAAATCTGTTCAACGTCAGTTGTTATGAATGTGAAGATTAGCCAGAAACCATAGTTGGGGCACTTCGTAATTTGCTAGTCAGCTCACTTTACATGCATGCATGGAGACATACATATCAATACCACATGATAGGGGATGTTTTTCTGTTCCTCTTCTCAGGATATGTAGGAATAAGAAATTTCGTTTGAGCAGAACCCAGCATGAATTTTGGTAGTCATTAGTGTTCTTCAACATTTTTTTCCTGTAGGTCGTGTTTGTGTTCCAATTGACCCAAACAATTGTGATGAGTTTGATCCAACTATAGTGCCAACCCTATCCCAGGTATTTGTGCTATCAACTCTTTTATTTATCTGTCGGATTTTTGTGCTGAAGACTTCCAAATCCAATTTTTGTAGTTTGTCAGATTTCAACCAAGAAAAATAATTATACTCCATTTCCTGTGTAAACTGTATGAGCTCTTGCTCCTTTTTAGAGATATTGGCGTAAAATTCTTGTGATTTATTTATCCGACAGCTTCTGGAAGAACTGAACAGGGAAGGACTAAGACAAGATGCTGATAATGGTATGTTTATTCTTCCATTGTTAGTTATTTTTATGATGGTTAGGTCCGTATGCTTTTATAGTCGCCTGCAAATAGTAGAAGATGAAATACCGGGAAAAGTAGCATTTATTTAAACATGTTGTAGCTTTATTTTTTTCCTTCTCTTGTCCCTTTGACATAAATCGGGGTCAATTTTGTCAGGCATCAGATATCCGGAGTCAATAAGGGGTTACAAACTGATGTGATTGATCACTTATGTATTAGGATGTGCTGCTGTGACATGAACTTGGCTAATGATAATGCCACTTGCAATTAGTACTCAGTATTTCTGATATTACCGGCTTTGATTGATTGCAGAAGGCGATAGAACCTCACTTGGAGAGTCGGTCAAGTTTTTCAGAACAACATTTTTACAGCCTCTGCTAAAATCTTGCAAGGAGGGCATAGAAAGTTCTTACAACGCAAAGCTGCAGCAGTCAAAGAATGCCCTCAGTTGGTAACCTTTTCTAAACTAGTATAATCAAATAACCTGTCTGTGTTCCGATTCTGATGTATCAGTTTATGAATTTATGCTATGTTCCGTGTATTTAATCAAATGTCGGGATTCATGTGTCATGGAAAGTGCTTCTAAACTGGAATATAAATTGACGTCTCCATCTCTTAACTCGTTCATCAAAGGCCCCTTAAGAAGTGGTTTGATGTACATTTTCTACTATGTTTTCGATAATCGAAGCCTTTACTAGTTAGGTTAATAAAGGCTTTGTTTAAGGGTTAAGCCGAGAAGGAGAATTTACTGGTGAAGAGAAAACCTGAAACCTGATAGTATTATTTTCTAATCACCAGGGTTACCACTATACAGACATTGCCAATGTGAAGTCGTACTCGGTTCAACCATATCTGTCTAATGTGACGATGTGTATAGTCATCTTTCAATCTTGTTATAAATGCGATGGAGGTGATTTGAGGACCACGGTTTCTTTCTCTCCAATGACCGAGAAAGTGTATGCGTGGTTGTTTTCACTTGCAGGATAAGGAAAGTGATCTGAATTAACTTGTAGGGTATGATTACATTAGATCAATCCGCCATCAAAATGACTCGGTTTATCAACAGATAGTATCATCACTTAATAATTGCATTGCAATTTGCAGATAAGATTTATTGCTCTGCCCTTTTGTTTTTTCATTATATTGGGCCCACCTAATTGATGGTTAAGCACTTCCCTTATTGGTCAAAATATGCTACAAGTCCTTGTACTCTGCATATTTGGAATTTAGTCCGACTTTTATTTTCTAACCTAAAATCTTAAGTCTAATAGTTGACAATGTTCAAATTTATGTTCGATTTGTTGATGTAATATTTTTAAATAAGTAAAATATTAATTTAGAAGTCATGTATAAAACATGAATTTTTTGGGATTTGAATTTAACAATATTTATAAATAATGGCGAACTTGAGTTTTTGGATTACATTTCAACTGCACGAAAAATAAACAAGATATGAAACGAGGAATTAACCAAGTACTTCGTTTAATATCTCACCTTCCACATTTAAATTTTAATTATATACGCCTACCATTTCAATATATTTATCATATTGTCGTGAAAAAGTTATCATGTTTTTACATTCGATGGTTGAATGTTAAATTTCAAATTGATTTTAAATTACTAATAAAAGCTATTTAAATGTTTTATTTAAATAAAAGAAAAATTAAGAGTGTTTGGTTTTTGTCTAAGATTAGAAGATGAATTTGCTGTCTTAATAAATTAAAACATTATTTTATTATTATATCATGAACCAGATATTTTTTTGCTTAATTGGAACATGGGAATAACATCTTAGGCTAGCTCAAATTCGTGTGTTTCCAACTCGAGAAAAGTTAACATGCTTAACCCCTAAATCTAATGCCTTCCATACAAAAACAAAGGCCGAAGAGACAATACCTAAAGAAAAACACTACAAGAACCTAAACCAATGATTGAGAGCATTAAGATGTTAATTAGCAAGAATCTCCCATAGTAATTCAGCATCAAAAGACGGCATTCTTGCAAGCGAACAGTCCTGAAACTGTGCTTCATCCGCCATCATCACTGTATAATCACTCGGAACAGACGACGGCGAATTCTCACATCTCCCAAACCTATCATCGTATGCACTTGGTGACAGCAATTCGCTGCTTAAATTGTCACTAAAACCCGCCGCCGATACAGACGAGGACGACGAACACGGTTCCATTGCCTTGACATCTTTCTCGGCTTCAGCAACAGGACGATCGGAGTTGCCGTTTTTGGCCTTCTTTTTAGCTCTTTCTCTTTTTACCTTTTGACAAATGGCTTGAATCTTAGCATCCACCGCGTTCTTCAGAGCACTCAGCGTTGCATCATCTCTAAAACCCAACTTTGTTGGATCCTTGAGATTAGGGAAATTCAACCTTGCGTATTCCCCTCGGAGTTTATACGCCGCACGGTCATAGGCATAAGCTGCCGTCTCGGGCGTTTCGTAAGTGCCTAACCAGACTCGTACTCTGTTTTGCGGGAGTCTGATTTCGGCTACCCATTTGCCCCGCTGCCTCTGCCTCACACCCCTGTAAAGCTTCTTCGCCTTTTGAGGACTTACGTAATCGCTTCCTAATGCTGGGTTTTGGAAGTTTCGAAGCTGAGTCTCCACCAAGTTACGCGAAAACGAAGCGTTTCCTTGGCAGAATTTTTGAAGGAGATCTCTCTGACGGAGATAGACCGAAGAGCCTAATGGCTCGCAAACAGAGTCGGTGCCGGCGGTGGCTGTTGATGGTTCACAGCGAGCGAATATTGAATCTAAGGTATTGGAGCCTGCTGATAATATCAACTGTGATACCGAAGACCCAATATCGGCACCATTGTTGGAACCAAATGGATGGTTGATTTCTTGCATCTCTCGTGTTTCTCTGATTCGTTATATTTCGAATGAAAACAGAGAGGAAATTGTAAAGGAAAGAAGGGTTGTTAAAATACAGCCCCGTTTCCTTGCAGAACAAATTCAAAGCTTTAAAAAGAAAAGGTACAATATTGATTGAGAAACAGAGAAAATGATCCAAAAAAGATGGCAAGAATGAACTGAAGAAACGAATCAGATTATAGGGAAAGAGAGAGAGAACACAATTAATAGCTTGTTGTTGATAAATGGGTATGGGTTCGGGGCCAGCTTTGGTGTACTTATAGCTGCACGGTTAAAGCCAAAAGTAGCAAGATTCTTGTTACCTTGCTAGTTTGAACTCCGGGGTCAGTTGGTACGTAAAATCGTCAAATAGGTAAGATTCAAAAATAAAAATCATATCGGGAAAAAACCCATCCAATGCGACTTGAGTTGCATTCTTACAAGACAGGAATCTGATTATATATCCAGTTCTGTTGGGAATAGGTAAGTCCCACCATAAACGTCCAAAGTGCTTCCATTACTTCTTTTTCTTATGTCGGAGTCTACGGTTTTTCGTACCTATAGCACATGAATTACTCTCAACGATTATCAGCCGTTCATTATTTCATGCATTTACACACATTTATCCAACCCTCAAACCGATCAACCGTTTTAAATATTCGACATAGAGAACCAACAGGACAATGCCTTTGCTTCCATTTTCATGGAATTAGTTAAAATGCAGGGCCTGCCTGAAGTCGATGGTTAGGTTCAGAAACGTAACAGCCATAGACATTGTATTAAATGCTTCATTTTCCGATTTCTATTCCCACAAATTCAGCCCAGTTTTACACAGAAACAATCAGTTTCAATGTGGGATCCAATCTCTGGCATGGAGCATTCATGACGTGTAGATAGGGTTTTGAAAAGGTGACACGCACAGGATTAGGGTTCCACACCTTCTAATCGAACTCTGTTATCAACTTTTGTATTACAAGGAAGTTTTAGGTTTAGATCCAACAATGTCACTATGCCAAAACAGAATTCAACAATGTCGGTATAAGGTTGTAGCAAAAAGACAGCAATGCCAAAACGTATACATCGTTGAAAACGGGAAGGGGTTGAAAAAGTAGAGTTTTGGAAGTATATGAGCACTCGGACCTCAACTCGTATGGTTCTTCTAGACCCAACACGCCAATCTTTCTCATTCACTCACCGCCTCTAACAACATAAATTACACCACACTGTCCCATATTCACGTGTCATGATTTCATTTCCCTCTGTCAAAAACCCTTACAGGGGCCATCCTAATAATAATAATAAATGACCATAATTACATATAAATATCGTATATTGTTTATATCATATATATATGCACATACTAAATATTATTTTATTATCATATAATAATATCATCAATATTTATATAATATATTATAGTTGGAAAAAACTGTAAGTTATTTATATCAATACAAATATTTTAAATAGTCTGGAGTAATTATAAAATAGGTATTTATTCATAATCACTCTTAGCCTTTGATAGCTCATATACATCATACACAACTATTCGAACTTAAGATTTCTAAGAAGAATAATACTCCCTTTAACTACTGAAATTATTTAATGAGATACTAATATATATATATATATATATATATATATATATAACTAAATATAATGAATTTCACACATGAAAAGTTTTAAGCTAAGAACGATACAAATAGGTAGCTTATAGGCTTAAATGTGAAAACAAGACAAAAAGTAAACGCATATGTTAATGTCGGGGGCTTTCGCAAAGCATGCCCACCGCCATTTTGACACAGACGGGGACGGAGCATATACGGAGTCAAGGCCTTGTAAGAGAATTGGAGGGAGTTACAATTTTGAAATCTCTATACATTAAAGTTGCGATCCTTAAAATTATTTTTAAGGCTTAATGCTTAAATAAGTATTCAAATTTTACATTTTTTTGTCAAATAGGTGTTTACGTTATTTTTTGTCTCATCCAAGTATCTAACATTACAGACATTACTCTTTTAGGTGCACGGACTGTCAATGGCGTTAGTTTCATCTGTTAAGTGACACATGTCACAATATGATAATTTTAAAAAATATATATAAAATTTTAAAAAGAAAACACATAAATTTTGAAATAACCCTTAAACTTTAAAAACATTCATTTCAAACCCTAAACTCACACCGCCCGCCACCCTTTACCGTCAAAGAAGCTTCATCCGACTTCCCCTCTCCCCGGCGACCAAAACCCCTATGAAATCATGACTGATTGACGATCGATCAACGATAAATCGATGTTTTATATACCGTGAACTCTAGGATGAAAATTGTGATTCCGATAGTGAATAAGCAACAACTACAACAACATATAACTAGGATGATGTCAAAGACTACGGTTGCAGCGGCGGTCGTGGCCGGAGAGGCCGTCAGCGGAGGGTTTGTGTTAAGATTTGGGGATTTTGAGGCCTTTCTCTGTAATTTAAAAGAAATTTGGGTTTTTTTTTATAAATATAAATAATATATATTTTTTTAAATTATAATATTATGACATGTGTCACTTAACGGTGAAAATTAACGTCATTGATGGTCCGGGCACCTAAAGGGGTAACATTTGTTTCGTTAAACTTCTAAATGGCCAAAAAATAATGTATACACATATTCGGTGAAAAAAGTATACTTATCTGTAGGAGTGTGCAAATTCAGGTAACCGGAACATCCGGGTCGATGATTTCTCGACCCGTGTCCCGACCCGGATGTTCCGGGTACCCGGATTTTTTCAAAATATTAAATAAAAAAACACACGCATTTAAATGTTCGAAACTTTGAATTACATAGTCCGACAAATTTAAATGTCGGGAAAAAAAATGAGAAATAGGATCTAACCTAAACTAATATAATGTAGAATTGTGTGTTTGCTGGTGAAAATAAGACTTTTATTCACAGTGAAAAAATAAAAGCAGTACAAGGGGTTTTATACAAAAGGTGTTAGATTTCTAGTTGATATGTGAGTTAGAGATCTAGTTGATCTAAGAGTCCTAACTAAATAAACTTTATCCTTATTTACAAATAAAATTAGAGTTAGAGATTAACTAAAATATTAATATTTACAATATCATTAGAAGACTATATCAAGAGACGATTATAACTCACAAAATATCTTATCTTCTACTGAGATAAATCTAAAATACACGTTTAATACAAAGTAAAATACTAAATACTACACTTCCCTTAAATCGGAGATTATATATTATATAATCCTGTTAGGGATTTCAATTTTATAAATTAAATATTTAGTTAATATATAAAAAAACTTAACCGCTTGGAAAAATCAATTTTTGTGACCCGGCCCCAATCCAGAAAGTGTCGGGCTGGGTAGCCGATCCGGCCGGATATTTTTTTAGAAAATTAACCGATTTTTTTATCCGGGTCGGCGAGTCAAGTCAACCAGATAGGTTAATTTTTCACACCCCTACTTATTTGAGCATTAAGCCTATTTTTAATTATCAAATTATTAAGGCAGTGCTTCGATAATGTTGAAAGGCTTGCGCATGTTAAGCCTCCGTGAATGGAATGCATGCAACTCATCTCGTAATTACTAAATCATATATTATGTCTTTCCAAAGATATTTGCCTTAATTTTTGTTTGTTGGATGTTTTTTTATTAGTATGGGATAAACGGTTCAAAGATAACTTTCAACCATTTGACATTAAACGTTGACACCCTAGGTATTTTCAGTACTCGAATCCAAGACATCAAAGAATAAAAATAATTCTTTTATCACTGAGGTCACTCGATGACATGTTAAATATTGGTAAAATGGGGCTGGACGTGGACCAACCCACCCTGGAGAAAAGCTACAGATCTTGAATTGGGCTCAAATGGATAAAATAACACAGCAAAAAGTAAACATGGGCTACGCATCGGCCATTATTAGACCAAGGATGAGCCCCCGTCAAATATAATATGCCTTCGGGTAAGGGCAAATCATGGGCTAATCATTGGTAATTTTATTCTAAATAATCTAGTTATATTGTTAAGTTATTCTTATAGTATTTTAGTTGATATTAATAATAATAAGGATATAGTACTCAAATGGTCTCCCGACTTTAGCACAATGCTTTGTTAAGTCCTATGATTATTAAAAGTTACAAAATAGTCTTCCGATTATAGGATGTTGTTTTGTTGAGTCCATCAATTATTAGAAGTTACAAAATGGTCGCCTGATTATTCATTATGTTCCAAACTCTTCATTTTTCGTTAAAAATTGATGATAGTTTGAGCTGGATGTCAATCTGTCATCTGAGATTCGATAGTTGTTTGTTATGTTGTGACCATTTTATAACTTTTGATAGTATAGATACTCAATAAAGTAATATCATATAATCGAAGACCATTTATATACTTTATCCTAATCAAGCTCCCACAATTAATAGTAGAACAAACAAAACAGTGGCGGGAAACACAGGAATGTTAGTGGAGTCAAAAGCAAAAGGACATTTTCCCTCACTTGCTCCAAAATCATGGTTCCACGCTGTTGGGGGGAAAAAATTGCGAGTAAGATCGGACCACCTCTCCGTGATTGGCTCAATCCACCTGGTGGCCCTGCATGTGTATCTTCAGCTCAACCTGCCTTGATTTGCGCTTTCATCCCAACAAGCCTCACTACATAATTGTAACCATTTTGAAGTCCCATATTTTTATTTTGGACACGAAATAAGCGAATTCCGTAATAAATGAATTGTTGTTATTCTTTAAAATCTTAGATTTGAGCATCAGGAATATCATGGGTGTAAGCGTTCAATGTCAAATGGTTGAGAGTTATCTTAAAACATATACTACCTTATATTTATCCCAAATTAATAAAAAAAAATATTTTTATTTTGGGTAAACTACCTATTTAGTGGCCCGCCTATTTTTGTATTTCCATTTTAGTCATTCAACTATTATTTTTAAATTTTTTACCCAATGTTGTGTTTTGTTTCTGTTTTAATCATTTACTATTAAAAAATTAACGATGATCCTTACGTGATATGATGTGATAATTTTTAACAATTAATTACTTATTGAGGATGAAAGAGAAAAGTAATGTGAAAATTATCATAGTTGATTT